CCACCTGCCTGCGGCAAGCCCCGCCACCGCGCCTGTGCAACAGCACAGCAGGAAGAAGGCTGAAACCTTTTCAACCAAAAGGCAGACGATAACCTCAAAATCATTCAAACACCAAATGAAATTCAATGTTTGTGTTGCTGCTTCGGGGCCTCCTGGGCGACGTTTTTGGACTTCTGGGGGCCTCCTGGGTTTTCTTGGGGGCCTTCTTGGGGCCTCTTGGGGCCACTTGGGCAATTTCAGATGGTTCTTGGCCCGTCTGACGCCTGCGGAGGCCGTCTCGGGGGGTCTCTCTGGGCCGTCTTGGAGCCCTCTTGGAGCGCTTGAGGGCCGTCTTGGGGCTCTCTTGGGGGCCTTTTAGGCGATCTTGGGGTCCCGTTGGGCCGACTTCGGGTCCTTTTGAGGGCCTTTTGGGCTGTCTTGCAGGCCTCTTGGGCCGTTTTGGGCGGTCGGAAACCCAAACAAGTGAAACCTTGAAAAACCTTGGGGGCCTCTTGGGCCGTCTTGATGCCGTCTTGGGGGCCTCTTGGGCCGTCTTGATGCCGTCTTGGGGGCCTCTTGAGCCGTCTTGGGTCATCTTGGGCCATCTTGGGTGTCAGCTTGGCTGTCTTGGGCCACGTAGCTGGACCCGGGCATTCGCATGAAACCTATTGTTTCGGAAAACGTCTTTCAGGAGGTACTCCCATGTACTCCACTGAGCTGAAACCAATTGTTTGGGAAAACACCCTTCAAGAGGCACTTCGAGGTGCTCCACTTAGCTGGACCCAGGCTTTCGCATGCAACTTATTGTTTGGGAAAACACCCTTCGAGAGGTACTTCGAGGTACTCCACCTAGCTGGACCCAGGCGTTCGCATGATACCTAGTGTTTGGGGAAACGCCCTTCAAGAGGTATTCCGAGGTGCTCCATATTTACTCGACTCAGGCTTTCGCATGAAACCTATTGTTCGGGAGAACACCCTTGAAGAGGTACTCCCAGGTACTCCACTTAGCTGGACCCAGGCTTTCGCATGAAACCCATTGTTTTGGAAAACACCCTTCAAGAGGTACTCCCATGTACTCCACTTAGCTGAAACCTTTGGGAAAACCCCCTTGAAGAGGTACTCCGAGGTGCTCCACTTAGCTTGGCCCAGGCGCTTTCACATGAAACCTATTGTTTGGAAAAAACACCCTTCAAGATGTACTCCCATGTACCCCACTTAGCTGAAACCGATTGTTTGGGAAACCACCCTTCAAGAGGTACTCCGAGGTACTCCACTTAGTGGGACCCAGGCTTTCACATGAAACCTATTGTGTGGGAAAACACCATTCGAGAGGTACTCCGAGGTACTCCACTTAGCTGGGCCCAGGCTTTCGCATGAAACCTATTGTTCGGGAAAACACCCGTCAAGAGGTACTCCGAGATACTCCACTTAGCTGGACCCAGGCTTTCGCAGGAAACCTATTCTTTGGGGGAAACACCCTTCAAGAGGTACTCCGAGGTACTCCAATTAGCTGGGCCCAGGCTTTCGCATGAAACCTATTGTTTGGGAGAACGCCCTTAAGATGTACTCCGGGGTACTCGACTTACCTGGACCCAGGGTTTCGCCTGAAACCTATTGTTTGGGGAAACACCCTTCATGAGGTACTCCCATGTACTCCACTTAGCTGAAACCTATTGTTTGGGAAAACACCCTTCAAGAGGTACTCCGAGGGACTCCACTTAGCTGGACCCATGCTTTCGAAGGAAACCTATTGTTTGGGAAAACATCCTTCAACAGGTACTCCGGGGTACTCCACTTACTCCACTTCCCGTTTTCGGTCTGGTCCGCGGGGGCCAAGAGACTGGTCTGGCTGAACCTGCCGCGGCCTTGTCCTCGCCCGCCTTTCCGCGCGGGGTTTGGCCCCCCGCTGCGCTCGCGGCCGCGCCCTCGTCGTCGTCGACGATCGTGGATCGAGGTTTCAGGTTGGAGGACTGAGGCTTTCTTTGGGTTTTTGTCAGTTTCTGGTTCTTTTGCGCGCTCTCGCGGCCACGGCTGAGTCTGCCTCGGACTCCTGGTCAGAACGCACCCCTGGACAAGGGGGGAGGAGGAGGAGGAAGAGGGGGAGGAGGAACGAGGAGGGAGGAGGAGGAGGAGGACGCCCGGGGACTTCCAGGCGGCCAAGATCTGCTCGAAGTCGGTACCGGTAGCTCTCCCGGGGCCCTTCCGATGCAGAGTTGCACCTCGGGTCCGTTTTTGAAGGGCGAAGCCCGCAAACGGCCTCCAGGGGGCGAAAACTTCGAAAAGCCGACGACGACGCCAAGAGCTATGGCCCCCCCGCCGGTGAAGGCGAAGAGGGCCCAGCTGGCGCAGCAGATGGCGATGATGTAGGCGCGATCGCCACCCGGGCTCCGCGGCGACGGCCCCTCGTCGTCGTCGTCGTCGGTGTCCCGTCGGTGTCCCGATGATGATGTTGCTGATGATTATGATGATGATTATGATGAGGATGGTAATGATGATGAGATGATGTTGATGATGGCGATGATGATGATGATGTTGATGTTGATGTTGATGATGATGATGATGATGCTGATGGTGTCCCGATGATGAGGATGATGATGATCATGATGATGCCGACGATGGTGTCCCGATGAAGATGAGTATGATGATGTTGATGTTGATGATGCTGATTATGAATGTGTCCCGATGATGATGATGTTGATGATGATGACGTTGATGATGATTATGGCGTCCCGATGATGATTATTCTGATGGTGATGATGATGATGTTGATGATGATGATGGCGTCCCGATGGTGATGATGATGATGATGTTGATGGTGATGTTGGTAAGTATGATGATCATGCTGATGATGTTGGTGATGATGATGATGATGATGTCGATGATGAGGATGGGATGATGATGACGGTGTCCCGATGATGATGCTGCTGCTGCTGATGATGATGACGATGACTGTGTCCCGCTGCTGCTGCTGATGATGATGATGTGATGATGATGATGATGATTGTGATGATGGTGATGATGATGATGGATGATGATGATGACGGTGGTGTCCCGATGATGTTGATGACCGTGATGATGATGATGATGATGATGATGTTGATGATGGTGGTGATGATGATGATGATGATGATGTTGGTGTTGATGATGAGGAGGAGGCGGAGGAGGGGGAGGAGGAGGAGGAGGAGGAGGAGCAGGAGCAGGAGCAGGAGCAGGAGCAGGAGCAGGAGGAGGAGGAGCAGGAGGAGGCGGAGGCGGAGGAGGAGGAGGAGGAGGAGCAGGAGGAGCAGGAGGAGCAGGAGGAGGTGCAGGAGCAGGAGGATGAGCAGGAGGAGGAGCAGGAGGAGGAGGACGAGGAGAGGCGAAACCGAGGGCGATGACCGCGTCGGCCTGGCGCCCGAGCGCCCCGCCCCCCGTTCCCCAGGGCAGCGGTCGCCGCAGGCGGCAGCGGCCCGCCGGAGTCTCCGGCGCCGCGGGGGTGCGTGAAGGGTCAGGGGCAACATCAGGGCGGCACAGGCTTAGGCTCAAGAAGGACCGCCGGCTGAATTTCTCAGATCTGCGGAGATGTTGGGAGGGAGGAGTGGTGAGGAAAGAGGTCAGGGGCAACGCTGGGGGGGGATCGGCTCGTGGCAACGTTCGGGGGGGAATGTGCTCAGCGGGGGATGTGCATCGACTTCCAATCGCCCACTCGTCGCCGAAAGGGCTCCGACAGTCCATCCCGCACAGGAACATCGGGCTTCGCTATCGGGAACCTATCGCCCATCTATCGGCGATGTTCGAAGAAGAGAAACGGCATAAGCATAAACTTTTGGCGCTCCGCGCGGGTTTCTTGGATCTGCGCTGCATTCCCTGGGAGGTCTCATGTGGACGGGCCCCTACTGTATGGCCTATTCACGCTCGAGGTTTCCCCCCCCTGAGCTGTTCCCCTCCCTGGCGTCAGCCTTAAGAAGTGGGCGTCCAGGGCCCTGGCATCATCGTCGCGCCTCCTCACCACACGGGCTGACTGTAGCGTTTTGTCGCCCTGCAGCTGGCAACGGCGGCGCGCAGAGGGGGGTAATGAGGGGGAGGGGAGACGCCTTTTTAGAGGCACGCTCTCTAGCCGTGGATCTCCTTGCGATTTGTTTTGGAATCGCGCTGTCTCCCGAGGCCTTCTCGCGATTCGTGCAAGGCGCACGCTTCGGCGAGCCGCCGTGCTCGACTTGGCCGCCTGGGCCCGCCTTCCCGACCCGCCTGTTAGGGTCTAGCCGCCCGATCTGCCCGTCTGGTTCTGCAACGTGTTTTCTGCTACTAGCCCCCCCATCCTGCTACTCTCTCTCGTGCTCCATCTTCCTCCCTCCCCCTTGTCCTTTCCTTCCATCCGTCCTCTCTTCCCTTGCCTCAGGGGCCGCGCCAAATACACGTGGCAGGGAAGAAAGATATTTCCCAAAGGGGGTACGATCGACGACGAAGGGGCGGGTATCGAGGGCATGGGATACGCGTTGAATGGCACGCGAGCGGGTAAGAGCGATCATTTTTTTATTCAAAGATGTTTTTTCCCCTCTCTCCCTATTTCGGGTCTATGGACCCCGTCAGAGATGTGTCATCGGCTTTGTTGTGTATTCAGCAAAAGAGAGGTCTGGACTTGGAGCCGAAAGTGGACTCGCACGCGTCGGGGAACCATACTTCTTGCTTCGCACGGGGCGAGGCCAGCGAGACAGGCAGACGGGCCTGCCACAGGCCAGCTGCTGCCCAGCACGATGCTTTCTGTTGTCGTCGTCCTGCGGCAAGGCCGGGGCGGAGGATCGAGGCGCAAAGACATCGTACACATAAACTGTCGGGACTCCGCGCCGACGTCCTGGAGCGGCACTGGACCCCCCTCCCTGGCGCGCGGAACGCGCCATGGGCGGCCTCGGAGGCGCCGCCGGGGTGGGGGTCCAGCGCCCATCCAAGAAATGCACGCGGAGCTCCGAAAGTGCATGTTTGTGTTTTTTGTTGTTCTTCGAGAGGGGGAGGCGGCGGAGGAGAGGGGTGGACGGGGAGGGGAGGCTCGCGCTGCAGACCTGAGCAACATCATCAACTTCAGGGACTCCCTGGAGGACTGCGCAGGGGGGCGGCATCGAGAAGAACTCGGGGGCGACGAGGATACTGTCGGAGGCACCGATTTTTACACTACACAATGAGGTCGCCGCAGGCGCCAGCTGTTCGTCAAGGCAATGTGGGTGGGCCGCGGTCAGGTCGCGTGTGGGTCGCGGGTGGGTCGCGGGCGGGTCGCGGGCGAGGACCACGACAAAAACAAACAACGAACAACCAACAAACGAAAAGAACCCTCGCCGGCGCCTCGACGTCGACGTCGTCGGCATCGACGGCGGCGGCGGTAGTGGTCGCGCCGTCGTCGTCGATTCTGTCGTTGTCGGGGATCAAACATCTTCTATTGTGGGGGTTAGTGGGGCTTCTGGGAAACGTGTTTGAGGGCCGCGCCGAAGGCTTTGCCGGCATCGAGTGCGGCAGACTCCATGGGTGTCGCATGAAACCTAGGCTTTCGCATGAAACCTAGTGTTTGGGAAAACACCCTTCAAGAGGTACTCCGAGGTACTCCGCTTAGCTGGACCCAGGTTTTCGCATGAAACCCATTGTTTGGGAAAACACCTCTCGCGATGTACTCCCATGTACTCCGCTGAGCTGAAACCCATTGTTTGGGAAAACGCCCTTGAAGAGGTACTCCGAGGTACAGTCTTTCGCATGAAACCGATTGTTGGGGAAGACGCCCTTCAAGAGGTACTCTCATGTACTCCACTTTGCTGAAACCTATTGTTTGGGAAAACGCCCTTCAAGAGGTACTCCGAGGTACTCCACTTAGCTGGACCCAGGCTTTCGCATGAGACCTCTTGTGTGGGGAAACACCCTTCAAGAGGGACTCCGAGGTGCTCCACTGAGCTGGACCCAGGCTTTCGCATGAAACCTATTGTTTGGGGAAACACCCTTCAAGAGGTACTCCCATGTGTTCCACGTAGCTGAAACCTATTGTTTGGGAAAACACCCTTCAAGAGGAACTCCGAGGCATTCCGCTTAGCTGGACCCAGGCTTTCGCATGAAACCTATCGTTTGGGAAAACACCCTTCAAGAGGTACTCCGAGGTGCTCCACTTAACTGGGCCCAGGTTTTCGCATGAAACCTATTGTTTGGAAAGACTCCACTTAGCTGAAACCGATTTGTTGGGAAGCACCCTTCAAGAGGTACTCCGAGGTACTCCAGTTAGCTGGACCCAGGCTTTCGCATGAAACCTATTGTGTGGCCTACTGGCTCAAGCGAGTGCATCTGCACGCGGGCGTTTGCGTTCGTGCTTCAGTGGGGGTGTCTCGGGTGATTCACTAGAGTTGACGGGAAGGCCGGGGCAATGGAGCGGTCACCATGCGCAGGATCTGCGTCGACGCCCGGGTCTGCAAGCACCGGCAGTTTGGACAAGCGTGGAAGGGCCCGGGACGATTCCTTTTCCGAGGTCGCTGCAGCCATGAGCGCACTCCGACAGAAGCGTGAAGAACTTGACAAGGAGATCGCGCGCGAGACGGGGCTGCAGGCCTCCATTCGCGAGGACGTGTCCTCGCTGCAGAATCGATTGGAGGAGATCGCTCGGTCGATTCAGCAAAGAACGGAACAGCGCGCCAAGTGCGAGGCAGTATTGGAGGAGTCGCGGGTCGCGCAGGAGGGGATTCTCCAAGCGTGTCAGCAGGTTACTCAGGACACCCAAGAGAACGCGGAATGCGTGCAACAAAAGCGGCAGCGGCTGGAAGTAAACGCGCTCCTGTGGTCTACGGGCCCTGTTGCCCAAAGCATGCTGGAGCTCGAAGCCGCCCACCGCGGCATTCCCGTGTCAGAGCTTTTCTGGTAGCCCGTGGAGCGGGTGCGTTCAGCGGAGCCCGATTCAGAGTTGGTGCACGCACTGGGGTGGGGAGGGACGGAAGGAAGAGGAGGAGGAGGGCGAGGAAGGGGTGGAGGAGTTGGAGGTGGCCAAAGACCGAGCCACTCAAGCGTGCGTTCACGCCAAAGAATCACGAGCTGGCGAACTGTATTCCACATGTCCTCACGCTTTGCCAGACAATTTCGGCCGCCTCGTTTAGGTGAACCGATTCAGACCAATAGCACGCGCTAGGGGGAGGAGAAGGAGAGGGATATGGAGGAGGAGAAGGTGTGAGGGGGGGAGCAAGAGGTGGCTGAAGACCAGGCCACTCAAGCGTGTGTTCACGCCAAAGAATCACCAGCTGGTGATGAGTATTCATTTTTGCACGCTTTGCCAGGAAGTCGCGGCCTCCTCGTGTCGGGGAGCCGATGCAGACTAATTGCATGTCGTGGTCGGCAGCGTGTTGTCACGCCAAAGAGATGACAGTGCCCTCGCAGATGGGGGGCGTGTTGTGATCGCGCCAAAGATTGCAAGTACAGCATAGTCGGATTGCGTTGGCCAACCTTTGAAAGTTCGGCCCGGTATCCTGGTTGGCGCAGAGGTTGACCCAGGAGCTTCTTGCAAACGAATGATTGTACACCATTTGAGTGAGCCTATGAAAGAAAGGGTGGCAATGGCGTTCCGTTTCCGTCCGTTCGCATCTGACCGGTGCGGGGTGATAGTTCTGCAGAAGAAACTCCGCGGACACCGCGTTTGCGGGCCCTCTTTGCGTCCAGAAAGCGGTGACGACGCAACCTGGTAGTGCCGAGGAGCTCCTGGTCGCGGTCGGGGGCGCTTCGAAGAGCCTCGGGAGTTCGGCGCGTTTTGCGTATCCCCGCCAGCCCATCCTAAAACAGCAATTTTTGCGAAACATACCGATAGTCGTGCTATGTGAGGGTTTTGTAGGCGGGACAGACGTGCGAAAGAACGAAGGGGTGTTGGGGAAGTGTTCCGTGCGGCCTTTGCATGCACGGGGAAGAGTTTAGAGCGTCGGCACAGTCATTCCCCTGTCCTCGCTCCCATTTCTCTGTTTCGCTTCGTGCTCTCCTCCTCACCCTTCTTACATGCCTCACCCTCCCCTCCTTATTTTCATCTTCTGTTTATCCTCTTTCTCCCTCGTCTATTCATAAGCCTCTTAGCCGGCAGGCTTATCTGTCTCGACTCCCTCATCAATCTCATCACCTTCTTTTTTCTGGTGTGTCGTGCTTTGTGGGAATCTCAAATTGCTGATTTGAGGCCTTCGCGCGTGCCCGGGAGCACCATCGTGCAAGCTTTGGTAGCGTTTTGTGTCGGCGTCGCGTCTGCCGCCGCAGCAGTTTTGGTTGTTTCATCAGACCGTGCGCTGCTGCAGCTGGAAATGTCGGCCATCCGGGTGATACTTGCTCCAGGACCCGCCGCCGCAATCGGGGCATCGCGGTCGGCGGCCGCTCGCGCAGCGCGGGCTTTGTGCTTTGTTGATTTTTTTTTTTTTTTTGAGTTGTTTATGACACAGCGCTTTTTTTTTTTTTTTTTTTTTTTTTTTTTTTTTTTTGTTCTTTTTTTTTTTTTTTGATTTTTTTTTTTTTTGTTTATTTTTTTTTTTTTTTTATCTTTTTTTTTTTTTTCGCCCCCAGCGCGCCCGACCTTCTCTTCCTTGGAGGGAACCCTTATTCCCTTTCGCCTATTCCTGGAATCCTGACGGCGTGGTTCTGCGGAACTTCCCCGAGTGGAGTTTTGTTGCGGCTCGGAGTCCTCTTGCGTTTCATTTTTCGTCGTCCACCTTTTGAAACTCCTCCCGCTTTGCGTTTTTTTTTCCCGGAAGCTTTATCTCCGTCTTTACATTCTCTATCTCGGGCATCTCTTCCACGAAGAATTAGACTTCGCGCGGTGCTGAGGCCGTCTGCATTGAAGAAGGCGTACTTCGAATCTCCTGGCACTATTCTTGCCTGGTTCTTCGAGGCGGGCCAGGCGCGCGAAGGGATGGGAGTAGCAGGCCAAGGGGGCGGGCGCAGACCCAAGGATGAGGATCGCGGCCTCGGGCGTTTGAGATGGCCGAAGAGAGCCCAGAGGAGTTCCAAGACGGCATGAAGGAAGGCCTGAAGAAATGGCTAGGAAATAATACTCTGCCAAATTCGCTGTCTGTCTCAGTGTCGATCTCATTATGCATCCCACCCGGTGGATCTCAGTAGCATGGTGATCACTTGATCTCTCCATGTGTCCCACCTCGTTGTACTATGGATCCCACGTTCTATTTCAGGATCAATCGCATCCGATCCATGTCGTCATGGGCTTCAGTATCGATGGCACAAGCGATTTCACCAACGATAGCGCTATCGCTCGCACTATCGCTGTCCGTGTCGGCATCACCATCGATGTCTCTAGCGATACCATTATCGATGTCTGCATCGACATCTGCATCGGTATTCTTGTTTCCGGAAGTAGCATTCTTCAAGAATGAAGCTGGTTCCTTCGAGCGCGGAGAAACATATGTGAGTCGCCGCAGTCTAGCTGAGCGCCTGTCCAGCTTCTCCTTCACTGTTCTGGAATCAGCGTTCCGGTGAACTTCAGTAGTTGTGCGTAGCAGTTCTGAAGGTTTTGAGAGCGAAGGCCGAAATGTTCGCGATCTCCAAGACCACATTGTATTTAGATGTCCTTCTCTATGTTTCCTTTCTCTTGCCCCCCCCTTCCCTGATAGAGGCTATGAACCGTTGGAAACCCTACATGTATGTAGCTCAAGGAAAGAACATGACTGCGGAGTTCATCTTCCCTTCCGAGCCTGGGGGTCATGTTGGGGGCCAGGAATGCGTTCCTGAGGGCCCGACCAGTTCGTCTTCCTTCTTGGGGGCCCGAAATTGAGAACTTTCGTGGTTGTGCGGATCAGCTTCATTCCGTGCGCGGCCCGCGCCTCCAAACGAAGGCCGTCGCTGCCCAGACTGCTCTGGTTGACCTTGGACAGCTCGTGGTGCTGACGCAGGAGCCCCTCCCCTACCGCTGGCGGGTGGCTGCGCTCGTTCGCACGCGGGCTCTGAACACGCGTTAGCCAGGAAGGGGAGAGCCCGATGTTCAGCAGGACGAGGCTTGACCCAGAGGAATTTGCTGCGATAGGGGGAACCCTCAGGTCCTTCCAGAACACCGGGGAACATTGGTTTTGCGGTGCGACGATGCGAGTGAGAGAGAGAGAGA